CCACTCCTCCTCTGGCACCCTCATGGTATAACCCCACTGAATGAGGTTATTTTGGCGATTCAAGCTCTAGTGGTAGAGACGGTGATGACGGCCACGACGGGGATCACATGGATGAGGATACACACCTTAGAGGCTACCATGGCTACGACGGATTTTTTGATGGCGGAGATGCAAGCGGGCACTAGGGACTGTGCCATGAACTAGCGGTGGGGGAGATTGTTCTGGTATGCTCACAATCCTACTATTTTCAAAAAAAAAAAAACTGAATAAGCTTGTTGAGTTGAAAACCCAAAAAGGGCGACTCAAGCAAAAATGAAAGCAATAAAATAAGAGTGAGGTTGTGAGAATTAAAAGAAAAATGTGGGAAGCTGGGATGAAAACCTGAAAGGGCACCTAGGCAAAACGAGAGAATGAGAGAAAATATTTCTTTTTATTTTGCAGGATCCTGAAGGTGAGAAACTTAGAAAAGAAATGGAGATAAAGATGAATTTGAAGACCCCTGTTTACTTTATTCACTTTTGGGGATGCTTTCTAATTGTTTTGTGTTTCTAAAACACTTTGTGATGGTTGTGTTGATGAACTTATCATTTTTTTTGGATTTCTTGGATTGCATTTACTCGAGACGAGTAAAGATTCAAGTGTGGGGATATTTGATATGCACTAGTTTATAGTGCATAAATGTACGTTTTCATTTTGATTTTATGTGGTTTTTCTATCATTTTTAGTTAGTTTGTAAGCATTTGTTTTATTCTGTTTGTAATTACTTTTAGCTTCCATTTATAGTTGTAGAATAAGTAGTAGAGTTTTTAGCAAGGAAAAGGAGAAAAAGCTGAAGATAAAAATGCCCAGGAGCACAAAACCCGGTCAGGTCAGACCCTGAACCTGGCCGGGTCTAAGTTGAAAATCGGATCTATGAGAAAAGAGACAGACCTGGTCGGGTCCCCTACTTGACCCGGTCGGGTCAGATGTGATCCGGAACACCAGAACATGCCGAAGATCGCCAGAATGTGGAAAATATCTGAGTTTGACCAAACCCAGTCGGGTCAACTAAGCCACCCGGTCGGGTCTGACTTGACCCGGGACAAAACGACGTGCTGAAGACACAAGAACGTGGGAAATATTTGATTTTGACATTTACCCGGTCGGGTATGTCCATTTACCCAGTCGGGTAAATGCCCCAGGGTGTTGAAAACACCTATAAATAGCCCCATTTTCCTTCACTTTTCATCATCCCTTCTTCCATACTCTTAAGCTCAGTTTAGAATAGTATTTCTTTTATATTTTTATAGAATGTTTAGTCTCTAAATGAGGAGCTAAACTTCCATTTCTTGGTTTTGCTCTTGAAGCTTGTTGATTATTAAAGTTGTGAGTTATTTTCTTACTTTCTCCTCTTGATTATTAATTCTTCCCTTAATCTCATTCTATATTAATGTTGGAGGGTTGCTAAGTGACGATTAGTTAACGTTCCGACATTAATTATTACTAGAAACGATCAACGAACCGATGGTTAATCGTTGATGGTTTCACAAGTAAGTAACTTCGGTTTATTAATGCACGGTCGTGGTTAATAAACTTAAGAGGGATTAATTTTGTTGGTTAAACCGAAACCGTTGTGTTGAGGTTATCAATATCAATTGATTTCATCAAGGAGTTAAAGAGGTTAAATGCTACTATTATATCGGTATACGGCGTTGTTCTATATTTGATTAATAGTAAGGGTTATTAATGAACAGTCATTGTTAATAACTACCCTCGATGAATTGGAGATACTCCGCGATTGAGTATTCGAGAGGGGATAAGTTATAGATATAACAATGATCGACTAAAATATATCAACAAGTTGAAAGTAGCAAGACCAAGTCTCTTCTATTCTTGAATTTAATCCCAATTAACTCGTTCATCTTCGTGTTTAATTTAATCAAATCACTCAATCAAACCCCCCCCCCCCCCCTTTATTTACTAATTACATAAAAAGAGAGTTATTCCTTTCCTTGTGGATATGAACTCTACTTCACCTATACTACGTATAAGTGTCAGTATTGATAATTATTTTGAGTGCACACACGACATAAATAATAAACTTCAACTTATTTTAGCATTATGTATATATGAATTAACAATACTGTGTATCATATTATACTGTTGTAATATTAAACAAACTTTTTGTGATCCACGAATACCCTCCTTCGTAGGCAAAAATTGCATTTCAAAAACCAATTTTTTATTCTGATAAGATTCAAGTGGTTAAACAAAGAATAAATTATTCAAAAAGCATTGGTTATGTGTACCTTTTAAACTCTTTACTTTCAAATAATTTGATAAACTGTTATATCCTTTCTTATTTTCAAATAATTTTGTAGAGCACTTAGAATTATTAAATCAAAGTTATTTTTTCATTGTCTAAAATTTGAATGTAATAGATTTAAATATCATCGTGTATTTACTCATGGATTTTTTGAACAAAAATTACCGACAGATCGAGTCCTATACTAGCGAAAAAATTTCGCCCCGCTGCACTAGCGAAAAAAACACTGGCGGAAAAATTTTCACCCCCTACATTAATGAAAAAAATTCGCCCCCTTGACTCGAAATCTTGGATCCGTCCCTGCTATTGTATGACCAAACTTACAACGTAACATCTAAACTCTATTGTCTTTTTTTTCGCAAGAAGCTCTATTGTCTATTTTATTCGGTCTAGTATGCATATATATATATATATATATAGAGGAATGCTCCTGTCCAGACGTCCGGACAGGAGCCGCCGTCCGGCCGGCGGCGTTTGGCCGCCTTCCCGGTGGATTTTTTTGATGAAATTTTTATGGCATGTTCTCCATCAAGTCTAGTTTATCCACAAAAAAATTCAGCCAAAAACTCAATCCGGAAGGTCGTCAAATGATTTTTGCAAGTTAACTGGTCCGGAATATGTATTTTCCGGACCAGTTAACTTGCAAAAATCATTTGACGACCTTCCCGATTGAGTTTTTGGCTGAATTTTTTTGTGGATAAACTAGACTTGATGGAGAACATGCCATAAAAATTTCATCAAAAAATTCCACCGGGAAGGCGGCCAAACGCCGCCGGCCGGACGGCGGCTCCTGTCCGGACGTCTGGACAGGATCTTTTTCTTTTATATATATATATATATATATATATATATAGGGGTGAGATCTCATACTAACTAGTTCTCCCATGCTAACTCGTGAAAACTCCGACAACCGGTGGTATTTTTGGCTCAAAGTTTTTGTGTATGTTCCTCATCAAGTCTAGTTCATCTATACCAAATTTGAGCAAAAAATTCAATCGGGAAGGTCATCAAATGATTTTTGAAAGAAAACTGGTCCGGAAAATACATATAAAATGCAGTTTTCTTTCAAAAATCATTTGATGACCTTCCCGATTGAATTTATTGCTCAAATTTGGTATATATGAACTAGACTTGATGAGGAACATACACAAAAACTTTGAGCCAAAAATACCACCGGTTGTCGGAGTTTTCACGAGTTTGCATTTTAAGCATGGTTTGCATTTGATCTCTTACCTATATATATATATATATATATATATATATATATATAGGGTTGAGTTCAAATGAGAACGAGTCTTAACGTGAGAACGTGAGAACACATCCTGGCTTTTGATCTGGAGAAACAGACGGTTCTCTTATTGGAAGGTGCATGATAAATCATACACCGTATCACACACAAACACAGATGACAAAATTATTTGAGGATGCGTGGGATGACTAAAGGGTAAAAAGGTCAAAAGAATGAAAAGATACCTTTAATGTCTACGATTTTCTAGCTTTCTTTAATCGCTTGGAGGCTATCAACTAGCAAAAAATTAGGAAAAGATAAAATGTCAAATCATATAAATTCCTTCAATTTTAAAATTGATTTAACTTTTAAAATTATAATCTAATTTTAACAAAAATTATATCAAATTAAATAATTTTTTATTACCTTTCGTAAGACACCAATATGACATATATAATTTTGTTTTAAAAAAATAGTATAATATGTGTACAATAAACCGCAACAAACATCTTCAGGTACCGCATGCACAAGAACATGTAGCTAACACACAAACACTAATATCTAAAACACAAGAATGACTATCTAACACACATGTATAAGAAAAATTAAAACGAGTATCTTAAGCACAAAATCCAATATTCAATGCACAAAGAACATTCTATTGCTCACAACAACTAAAAACTAATTAATATCTAATGCATAAGGATTTCACACAAGTTAAACTTATAAATAACACACAAGAATCAATACGTAATGCACAAAGAACAATATCTAACACACAAAATTAAAAACTGCGGAGTAATTAATATCTAAATGCATAAGGATTTCACACAACTTAAACTAATATATAACACACAAGAATCAATATCTAATGCACAATACGAATATATCAATCACAAAAAGCATGATCTAACACACAACAATAAAAAAACTAATATCTAACGCCCAAGTACTTCATATAGTACACATGAACTAGTATCTAAGGCACAATATATATACCTTAAACTCTTATCTACCACATAATATGGACATAGAGAATCACAACAAATATGTCGTGCACAAAAACCATTATCAAACACACAATCCTTAATATGTAATGCACATGAATCGATATCTGACACACAACACATTTATGGAATTCACATAAATCAGTATGTAACTCACATTTCGTATGTACCATAAAAAAGAAAATATGTGTTGAAAAATATAACAATGATATGATAATTAACAATTAAGGAGAGATTCATTCCCTTACAAAAAGAAACTATTTCTATAGTTACGTATGTCAAATCATGTGAGTATTAAAAAGAAATATTTAAGGGATACGGAAATTAATCTTTCCATTTGTAGAAATGTAGAACAATCGGATGTATTAAATGCCAACTAGTGTTATACGAAAATGCCCTTCAGTTGATCGCAGATGGTTATTAATTTTGGATGGCTGAGATGTGTTCTCTTGTTCTCACGTTAAGACTCGTTCTCATTTGAACCAAAATCTATATATATATATATATATATATATATATATAGTCACGCCCACTTCAATGTAATATTAATAAATTTATGATAACTACAATTAAAATTGTAATCATGATTGTCAAAAGTCACACTTCTATCCACTATTTTTCATCATCTTTCTTTCTTTTTGCATAATAAACACCACAACCAACAAGCGCGAAAAGTAATAAAACACCAATAACAGCAAAAATAGTTTTAGGTGAAGAGTTGTTGTCTTGATCTGATTGTGTTAGACCCCCGCCTCCATCTGGTGTTGGACCTCCGCCTTCGTAGACAATGGTGTTGGGGTTAAATTGGATGATGCCGGGGATGTTGTCCACCACCCCACTTCCGCCGCCGGTCAGCCTATATATACCACACACACACAATATGATCAGTAAAATGATATACAGGATTCATTATATTTCATCCGTCCCACTAAACTTTGTCAACTTTTCATTTTTAGTTGTACAAAAAAATATTGTCACCTTTTCATTAAAGTAACTATTTTGTTACTGTGCACAGCCTTCAACAACAAATTTTTTATTATTCTTATTCTACACCTAATTCAAAGAGTGCAGAGTGTGAGACGGAGATAGTAATAGACGGTAATGCTGTATCAATTGAAATTCCTAAGAAAGTTCTAATTAAAATATTACAATAATTAAAATATTTATTTAAAAATTTTCATGATTGATCAAGAAAAGTTACCTACCTTAACAGCCTGAAAAATTATCGCACTTTCTCCAAAAAAATTACACGCAGTAAATCAATCCATACCGACCAAACGTTGTGATTAGTGTTATCAAAACAATATCATAAGTAAAAGTATTCTTTAATGGTGCAATCAATTATATATTTTCAATAGGAAATTATTTCTATTTTAAAGAAGATATGAAAATATTCTTTAATGGAAAACAATATCATAAGTAAAAGTATAAAACTTCTACTAGTAATTTTTATAAAAATACGGAGTACTAATTAAAATCATTCGTCAAAATTTTCAATTATGGACTTGAAAAATTAAAGCTAAATATTCAAATATCTCCTAGGTACCAAATAGAATCAAATTATAGAAAAGTGAGTCATTCTTGTTGTATACACAACTCGTATTCAAATTATACACTGTTCGTGTATACATAAAATTGGTACATATACAAATCACTTGAGTACTAAGGAGTGTTTGAATCTGATTATTAAAACTGTTTCTACTCCTTCGAGGAGCAGAAGTGAAAGTTGATTTATTTATGATGAAAGTGCAGAAGTACTTCTGGTGCTCTAATTCACTTCTCAAAAAAGTTTTTTTTAGAACCATAGACTAACTTCTGAATACTTATTCTGATTCCGCTTCTCCTTAAAAAAATTCCAAACACCTCCTAAAACACGTGCACTAATTTTGTGAACGAGTGTAATTTTTCACCAATACGAGCAAAGAAATTATGGTGAACAAGAAGATTACCCGAGGACGCCGACGTTGCCTGTCAACTGCTCCACCTGGCTGCCGGACTTGACGCCGACTGAGCTGGTTGCTTGTTTGTACGGATCGTCGGAGTCCTGCTCGCCGGAATGTACAAAGAATGCCCCATTGAGGAGTACATCATCCGTTGACCTCCAATTCCAGCTTTTCCAATCCTTTGCCGCATCGATCCGCTTGGTTATCTCCTTAGCATGAGGGTTATCCGGCGCCTTGAAACGGTTGCCCTGGCAATTGATGGTGGGGCTGCCGCTGCCGCCGACGGCGTAAATAATCCACCCCGTGTAGTCGTTGTTGACCACGTGGAAGTACCCTGTCCTGCACCTCGGCATCCTCTGCCCCAGCAATTCCCCGAACACGTTGAACGCGACGGTCACCTGCATGCCGGCGTCGTCCTTGTCGTCGTCCTCGTGCCCCAGCAGCATCACCTTGTCGTGGTGGGTGAAGCGGTTGTTGGAGACGGTGACGGCGGTGGAGCCCTGGGTGACGTCGATCAGCCCGTCGGCGCAATTCGCCAGGATGCAATGGTCGATCCACACATCCCTCGATTTTTGAACGGAAATCGCGTCGCCGTCCGACGGGGACACCGGCTCGGTGAGTCCCTGGTTCAACTCCACAACGTCGTTTGCCGGCGACGGCCTGCAGTTGTAGATGAGCAGGTTGTGGATGATGACGTTGGTGACGGAGAGGAGCGTGATGCAGCCGGCGCCGGTGATCTGCACCTTCGCCCCGCGGCCGTCGATGGTGGTGTCGCCGCTGACGAAGAGCTCGTGTTTGAGATTGATGACCATGTCGCCCTGGAATATGATCCACACCGGCCCCTCAGTAAGAACGCCGTGCCGGAGAGTGCCCTGTGGCGGGTTTTTGGGGTCGTAGTCGTCCGATGCGTCGGTTACCATATAGAATGGCCCGCCTTTCCCGCCGATCGCATTTTTCCCGAACCCAATGCCGCAATCAGCCAGCCTCTGCCGGTCCTTCTCCCAGCTCGGGTCGCAAGACCCCCAGCAGTCGTCGATCGGGTTTCCGGTCTGGCACGCCGCCGGCGAAGAAGACTGAAGCTCTCTGCTTCTCGTTATTGATTCATTTACTCTTCTGCCAAATTATTCATAAATTAACAAGTTAAAATGTGTAAAATATGGCTTTTGAACCAAACAAACGAAACATTGACAGTAATAATCTCAACTATTAGCGGTCCGCTCATAATAATACCGACTATCGATTATTTCAGAACAATTCCAACTTTTAGGATATTCTGCCAATAATGATCCGACGTGACCGACTATAAATAAATTTCTATAGTTTTTAAAGTGGATGAGAAGAGATATAACAATTAATCCCTGTAAATAATCCCAACTTTTAATTTCTATTAAAATTCACTTGTTATAGCAAGTAATATCCGGTTATGGACCATTATTGACGAACAGTCCATATAGTTGGGATTATACAAAAATAATCAATAGTTCGGATTATTGTTAGTGGACCAACAATAGTTGAGATTATTATTTTCAATTTTCCCCCAAACAAATGGGTAACTCAAATACTCTGGTATATTTTGACGTGTCATACTCTGTATATGGACTCCATATGATTTTAGAAATTTTCTGATCTGATCTGGTTTGGTCTGATCTTAATTGATCTGGTTTAGGCCTGGACTCGGGCCGGGCGGCCCGACCCGGAACCGGCCCGGCCCGGCCACTGTAGCAACCGGCTCGGCCCGGTGGCCCGGTCCACCGGCGGTTCGGGTCGAACTGGCCCGGTGGTTCCCGGTTCCGGGCCCGGGCCTTCCAAATGGTGAACCGGCCCGGCCGGTTCGGGCCCGGTCCGGGCCGGATTTTAAATTTTTTTTTTTTTTGAAATTTTTTTAAAATTTTGGGTTGGAATAGGTATTTTGGGCCATTTGAGGTGGTTTGGGGTTGAGGGGGAGGGGTAGGGGATTAAATAGGAGAACACAAAAAAAAAAAAAAAAAAAAAATAAGTGGGCCGGTTCGGCCCGGCCCGGCCCGGCCCGGTTTGGCCCGGAACCGGGACCGGAACCGGCCACCGGCGGTTCGGGCCCGGGCCTCCCATTTCCTGGCCCGAGGCCCGGCCGGGCCCAGGCCCGAACCGGGCCCGAACCGGCCCGAGTCCAGGCCTAATCTGGTTTGATAAATGTCTGGTCTCTTTGTATTTTGTGACTATCCATGTCTTGGTATAGGGTGGTCTGATATGATCTGATCTGGTTTGGTATGGGACTGAAAACAGTCCAAGTAAAAACATCCTCATATCCCTTCCCTTCGCAAAAAACACATCCCGGTTTTACTTGGATCGGATGTTAAGAAAGTTAACCAAAGAAACTTTCCAAAAAGATGAAATGAGATTTTTTGTAGACATTTCAAAAGGTACATGTGAGGAAATGCACACCGATATATAGAGTAATATATGTGGTCACGTATCTAAAGTTTAATTTGTCTCCAAATCACTCGGTCCTTTCTTGAATTAAACGGACTAATACAGGTCTGAAATTGTTATAACTTATAAACGTAGTATAGGTTTTCATTCGGTCCTAACTCAGGTCTTGAGTTAGGATTTTCATTTGCTTCACTGAATAATTGGGTATAGAAATATATCATTATCAGTAGTTAGGGAGCCAATTATGCTATTATCGCTTCATAAACATTAACATGCCTCCACAAACTTTTGAACAAATTGAAAAAACTTTGAAACATTTTGCATTTGGTAACATTCTGTTATGAGAAATTGGATAGCACCACTTGGTGAAGATGAACTCATTAGAATATTCCAATTGTACAATTCATAAATTAATACTCCTTCCTTCTCTTAATAAATTTTACAGTCAACATTTCACGATCTCCAATGTTGACATTTGACCATTGATATGTAAAAGTATACACTTATAAAACTTATAATAAATCAACATTTCAATAATATATATTAAATGAAACATTCAAAACTATTTTGATATTCTAAAATAATACAGTTTTTGAGTAATGAACGGTAAAACTTTACAAAGTTTGACTAAAAAAGTCAAAGTGTAAACTTAAATAGTATGTAACATGAAACAATCATAGTATGTCCGGATTATTATAGTAAGAGAAAACTTCATGTCAGGCCGGCCTGAGCCTGAGTGCCTGACGGGCTGCCCCGTCCGGCCGAGCCCGTTTGGGCACCTTCCCGGTGGAAGTTTTTGATGAAATTGTTTGAGCATGTTCCTCATCAAGTCTAGTTTGTCCATACCAAATTTCAGCTCAAAATTCGATCGGGAAGGTCGTCAAATGATTTTTGCAAGTTAACTGGTCCGGAAAATACATATTCCGGACCAGTTAACTTGCAAAAATCATTTGACGACCTTCCCGATCGAATTTTGAGCTGAAATTTGGTATGGACAAACTAGACTTGATGAGGAACATGCTCAAAAAATTTCATCAAAAAATTCTACCGGGAAGGTGCCCAAACGGGCTCGGCCGGACGGGGCAGCCCGTCAGGCCGGCCTGATGAGAAGAGCCAGACATTGACATTGACATTGACATTGACGGGGCAGCCCGTCAGGACGGGGCAGCCCGTCAGGCCGGACTATGTCCGCACTTATTAACTACTAAGATAAGATAAGATAATATAAGATAGGATAAGATAAGATGAGACACCCAGACATTGACATTCTTGTATCGCAAAATAAGACATATTCTTATATAACCAAAACAGGTATTAGAAAGTTAAAATTCTATTTATTACTTTAATAACAAAACATGCCTTATCATAATAGGAGTGAAACAGGATGTTAGTCCCCAAAAGAGAACTTATTAGTGGAAGAGTCATATTTTAGTAAGAAGAGAATCAACCTTCAAAAAAAAAGTAAGAAGAGAATCAAAGTGGTAAGCCTTCTGAAGACAAGAAGTAAGAATAGTAGGCAAAATAAATAGCAAACAGAGACAATATACCAATAATTAGTGGGAGAATAATGCATAGGGGATGGAGGAGTAAAATTCAATTTCTTTTTACCTATGAACTTCTCTAACCACATCTTCAGGATTGGAGGGTGGCTGGTGATGAGGGAGGGTGAAGGCAGGAACACTACCAATTAGTGAAGGAAGTGAGGAGAAGAAGAAGAAAACGGAAATGGCTGTAGGAAGCATTGTGTTTTATTCTTGCTGGCTAGCACCAGGTATAGTAGCCTTTGTTATTTTCTTTCCAAAACAACTCCTCTTACTGTGTGAATTTATACTGCAAACTTTGTGGCAAAGGCAGAAAACATTTTCAGATTTTACAGATCAAATCTCCTGAAAATGTTTTGAAAAGCATTTTAGATGGTGCTTCTTTCTGGAACAAGAATTTGAACAGGAGGAAATTCTCTGCTGCTACCTCATCAAACCACCTATTATGAAGACTCAACATAAGCTTTAGACTTGACTTGAGATCAAGAAAGCTGCTGCCTGGACTTAAGCAGTACTTTCTTGTGGGTTCCACTATTTTATGAAAATCTTATAATAATAATAATAATAATCTATTTTAGACTACACTATGCTAAGATGAAGAAAAACAGGTATCACATTTTTGTGGGGAGGTTGGTTTTGATTGCCTTTAGTCCCCAAAAACAGGAAAAATTGTGTACTCCGGGGAGTGTCATCAAAATTGGTTTTGATCCACGCCCCTTGTTGACTCTCTTTTTGTTATCAAAATATTACTAGCTCCTTATAATGTTATATTAATTCATACGTGAATTAATAAAGTAAAGTGTGTGTGTGAGATTTGTGGAAAAAAGAGAGAATTAACTGCAACAACAAATTCTTTACTTGAAAGAGAAAGTCACAAAGTTAGTGGGATAAAAAAAAAGTTGATCAGGTTTTAAGAGACGTATGGAGTATAATCAGAATAGGCCTAGGGGTGGAAAATAAAAATCGGCCTACTATTACAAAAAATTGTAAAACTCTTTTCTATCTAAGTTGACATGCATAATAATAATAATAATAATAATAATAATATTTCAAGACATTTATAAAAAAATTGTAAAACCATATTCTGTCTAAACAAATCATATTATAGTATTGGTGATCCACTGATCCTTATTTAGGATAGAAAACAATGGTGGTCCTATTTATACACTTTACCAATGTTTAGGTCATATTTAAGGAATTAACTCTATTACTATCAACTCCAAAATTCCCCCCTTCAATGATGCAATCATTCTGTATCATTTAATGTTCAGTAGTTTTTTTATCGTCAAAATAGATGACTTAAATTAACATCATAGCATTCAGATAGGGGTAAAACGACAAAAGGATCACAGACAACCGTCAGCTCTTGAATCAGACTTAGAGTCAATCACCTCCAAAAAAACAATATAACTCGCTGATCCTATAATGGGCATAAATGAGCCAACGACACTAATAAGTGTGCAAATAACAAGGAACGGGGATACATTAATTATAAGAACATGGAAAATAATGGATGTTAATACATTCGCACGAACTTTCATATATCTATTTATTATTGGTAGTGTTATTATTATGACACATAATAAATCTTAAATGAATGAGATCATAGACATGGCCAATGCAATTAAAGCAGATTTCATTGTACATTTATTTACAAATGTGTTCTTTATTATGCTTGAAAACAAAATATATAATCATATTCCGCAATTTATTTATTTATTTACTTTTTTATATTCCTATTTATTTATTCATTTTATTTATTTATTTATTTATTTATTCATTTTATTTATTTATTTATTTATTTATTTATTTATTTATTTATTTATTTATTTATTTATTTATTTATTTATTTATTTATTTATTTATTTATTTATTTATTTATTTATTTATTTATTTATTTATTTATTTATTTATTTATTTATTTATTTATTTATTTATTTATTTATTTATTTTTTCATTTATTTATTTTTTCATTTATTCATTTATTCATTCATTCATTCATTCATTCATTTATTCATTCATTTATTTATTTATTTATTTATTTATTTATTCATTCATTCATTTATTTATTTATTTATTTATTTATTTATTTATTTATTTATTTATTTATTTATTTATTTATTTATTTATTTATTTATTTATTTATTTATTTATTTATTTATTTATTTATTTATTTATTTATTTATTTATTTATTTATTTATTTATTTATTTATTTATTTATTTATTTATTTATTTATTTATTTATTGCCCAAAATTAGAGTAAAAATGCTTTTGGATTCGAAAACAGGAATAATATGTTTTGTCCCTTAAAAATGAGTAATTATTATCATGTTTTTACATTGATAGACTTTATACATGAGTAATTGTTCATATTTCAAGATAAAAACATAGTGCTTCTATTTTTGAATTTGGAAACATTTTTACTCTTATTTCAGAATTTTTTATATATTCTATTTTGAAATATGTAGTATAAAATTAATACAATCATTTGAAAATCTGACAATTAGAACTGAAAATAACTGTTGTATTTGGAATTTTATTTTTGGTTATTAAAAATAAAAAATAAAAAAATGATACTCAATGAGACCTTGTCTAAGAGAAATATTGTTTGATTTAATTTTTTATCCAAGATATGCTCTAAGTAGGAGTACAAATAATTTGAAAAACAAAAATTTGAATGACGTATTTTTCTAAATATGAGTAACTACTGCCTTGAAGGGAAGTGACACAAATTGTGGCATTAATGATATCATATTATTGTCTAATATGTAATGCCCAAACACGGTCACAACGACACTAACTTACCCCCTTTAAAGGGGAAAAGACATTGTACGCCTATCTTTGAATTTTATATTATTACTCCTAATTCAAGAAATTTCCCTGGTTTATAACCAAAAAAAAAAAATTACAGTTTAGCTAGGAGAACTTCTGCTTCCTTAGAAAAATAACCCAAGTTGGGCAATTCAACATATTAATTATACCATGTATGTTTTTCTATCTTTTTTGTTTTGCATATTTCTCTATTTATGTGTAAATGTATAATGTATGTATATATATACATGTATAGGAAAGAACTTATGTGGTTTCTAAATTTATTTATAGTGCTCTTTGATTTAAGGAATGCCTATATATGGAGAATAATGATACCATTGATTATAGTTTTTTAAATAGAGAAAACTGATATATGGAAAAACATATGGCAACAAATGCCTACGTTTTGGTTTAGAAATTGTCCAGGAAAGTTCCACACGGATTTTCACACTAGACGCTACCGAACATGAACTGTCCCTAAGGAAATTGTTAAATGTCTCACACCAGAAACATTTGGATGAAAACGTAGACATTTGTTTCCTTTTAGGATGGAACCCCGGGTCTTAACAAAAATTCTAGGCAGTGAGCTCCTGGGCAATCTAATCTTCTGGCTTCTTCTTTCAAGTTTGATTGAGATGTTCTCTGAACAGTAATGAATCAAAGGTTTTGCTATGTTTCCTTTCCCCCCTATCTTTTAGGGTTCTGATTTTGGTCTGACATCTTCTTTGGCCTAAAATTATGTTCGCTTTAGGAGAGCGTGCGTTTCGTTCTTCTCCTAGGAATGTCTAGAGGTTGTGTCTTCCTCGTCAGTGTAACCGATCGAGTGATTCATTATTCATGGTTGGCAACTGGCAAGACAGGTCCAACCGAGTTCTTCTAAATCTCCAAATACTCGCCCTCCTCCTGAACCACCGCTTCACTCGAAGGAAAAGATATCGCTCAACTAGATATCCTTTTCGGTGGAAGGTCAAATTGACGATCCAGACAAAATCTGCTAAATTGAGTTCTCTTTGTTGGTTACTAGTGAAACCAATTCCCCCTTTCTGGTGGCTGGTGAAGCCGGATAGTTTAATTGTAATTTTGCATATTTTTTGTGGAGTAGCAAGAAGAGCAGTAAGGCTGTTAGACTAGATTACATTATTGCAGAGTTAGCGATCTCGAAGGATTCATTTGATCTTTTATGTTCTATGTCCCATCTCATTGTAGTCTTAGACTATTCACTCTCTTGTATCTTTGCTGTCTTTTAATTATGAATTAGTTATTTAATTTTCAAAAAAAAAAATTGTCCAACTTAATATTGTGTTCTCTTCACATCTAATTATAAAAAAACTAAACTTTGGTTTTAAAACGGGACGATTTCCATTTGCCTAACAAGATACCTCGTACCACAAAAACTTGACGAAAGTTGACTTGCACGTAGATTAATAAACTAAAAATTGGGTAATTGAAATTTGTGCAAAGGAGAGAAATAACTTTAGCCACATATCTTACTAATTAAATGAAAATGTCAAAGTTCTTTCGAACGATCAGAAAAGGAAATTTGTTCAAGTTTTGTGAGACGAAGAGAGTACAGAATAGAGAACAACGTTGGCAGACAGAAAAAACAAGCTTTCAATGAACTATTATTAGATCATGACTTTTCTTTGCTTTTATTTAATTTTTTCACTTTTGGAAGTAGTCAGATCAAAATAAATTGTACGATGGTATTAGACTTGAAAATAACACTTTAGAAAAAAGTTTTATGAAAGCTAGAATAGTCAAAAAGCTATCAAAGATAAATAATATGGTAATAAGGTTGTCAATATGCTGGATTTAGGGAGGGATCAAACCATGGATGCGATTATCGTTATGCCGTGACGAATGAATTAAGTAAATGACATTTGACCATTCAAATTCCTGTCCAAATTAGAATACTGGATTTAATCGGACCAGTAGGCCAATACCTGATCAATCCAAACTGATTACGGAGTACGATCTAAAAATTTTAGGGCCAATGTTTTTTCAAGACAAAAAAGAGATAGAGTAATTCTATTCACATCCCTTTTTTTTACTAATTACAGCCACCAAATAAATCAAATATCTAAATTACCCTTGTGACTACATAAGGATCGTTTAAGTGCAGAGTCGTTTACGACTACTTTACGCAGAGGCGTGTTCTTGTTAGGCAGAGACCTGGGAAGCTAAATCCTATCGTTTAAGATCTGTGAAGCTAGATACGATCGACTTTATTCTTGTTATGACCAACACAAGCACCACAAATATTTTTGGAAAAAACATCTAGACCGACTTTCAAGTGGAGGCCGCCCTTCGTATTTTCAACAGGTGTGAATGATCTCAACAGTTTCAAACTTTCATATTTTCTCTAGAAACAGTGCTTCATAACATTATTAAAAGTTAATACATTTTTCTTGGAAACATTCAAATTGCGGAGTGGAAGTTATATATGGATAGCCTGGAGAGAGAAAGAGACTTCTACTTTGCAAAGATTATAAACCCTTCCTTCCATACCAATGACCAATCTGGCTCTTGAATTTGAAAACAATTTATAACACATCTGGCACATCCTAGATGTTGTCCAACTTTGTTTGAAACTATAACATTAGACAAATCTGGTGATCTTCTATTGAAATCCCGAGTTGTATACTTCGAACATGGCATAATCAGATGTTGAATTTTGAGAAGCACCTTACAGTGCACCCATTAAGCAACAAAGGTGTGGATATAAGCGTCCTTCGGTGGAGTGTGGATAGGAGAGCACACGCGTTAGACGGAAGCTGTAAGTTTTAAGGGCATAAATGGAATTAAAAAAATGTGGGTGTGTATTTAGTAAAAGGGGGTTGTAAATAGAATTACCCAAAGAGATAAAAATAATATAAAATGTCTAAAATACCCTAAAATTCTAACTAGCCGTTGTGGATGTCACTAGGGTGCTCTCAATGTGCAAAAGCGGTTGTGCAAAAACTAGCTAGTTTGCCCCTTTACAATGTTAGACAGTTGTCCCTTTAACGATAAAAGAAAATTGTGCTAATAGCTACGGAGTAGTACATTATTTAATTTTTTGAGACTTGGAGCATTGAGTTATTTCACTTGTTTGTTAGGTTGGAAAGTCATCAGATATACTCCGTACTTCAACAAAAAATATTAAAAAACATCGATAGCCATTTAAAAGTTGAAATAAAATTATATCATAAAACATAATTGTTCAAGAAAATATATTCATAATAATAAAATTCACATATAATAACATACATGGGGACAATATATCATAAATGCACAATATATTATAAATGGACCATATGATACTAAACCATATGCATAGAAGGTCACATAGTACACTAGATTTGAACAAACTAAATTAGACTATACAACACTGTACAAGATTAATACAGATTGAATTAAATGAGATATAATCAATAAACGGTCTAACAATCAGAAACCTAGAGAAAATTATGAAGTTGTAGACAATGATTTGTCATTTATTGTTGCTGATGCAATTAATTATTTAAGTACAAAATTGAATTTGTGGGTTTGACACCATTTGTGGATAGCAATATTGCTAAGAACGAATACAATATAAATTCACATATTACTATTGAGATTATTTCATTTTAACAATTACTTCTGAAATACTACGTATTATTTTCCGTTAGTTTTTTTACGAAAACGTTTGATAACAGAAACCAGAATAACAAGAATAATAATAGCAACCGCTATTTTAAAAGCAGTTTGAGGGGAGATGGTTGATTGTAATGGAGCCCCCCCGCCTTGGTCAAAAATGTTGCCGAAGTTCCATTCCTTAACGCCGGGGACGGTGTTCAACACCCCATTTCCGGCGGCGGCGAGCCTATCAATACCATTCATGGCATTCATAAAATATGATTAGTCAAAGGATGAATTATGTAAATAGAATTAATGATGTCATAACTATTAGTATAGCAAATGTTAATATTGTTTTGGTACAACAATTAGTGAAGGAATCAAATTAGCACCCCATGTAAAATTAAAAGTCTTAGTAGATACGTAGTAGGATTTTTTTTTTTGAATATCCGAATTAAGTTATACAACTTGAGGGCCTGAAGTTGAGTACAATCTTCGAAAAATTGTTCTACCCACTGATGGTTGATTAGTCAAAATTACACTACTTCGACCATGGTTAATTACCCATGTACTCCTTCAGTCCCATTTATATTGTTTCGTTTTACTTTTTCGGGAAGTCCCACTTAAATTGTCTCATACCATATTTGGCAAAGTTTGCGTGACTCTAAATCATTCTTACTTTATTCTTACTTTATCAATTAATATCAACCACACAAACTCACTTTTCTTAATAATCGTGCCATCCTTTTTCGAGACAATATAAATGGGACGGAGGTAGTATTAATTAAAATATTATGTAGTTCAACACATTAGAAGTGCACTCAACTCATAATGAAATCATGAAGTTGGTAAAACAATGTAATTGCACATAACTTTTTGTGGAAGCATTGAAGTGAGATCGAGACTCTTTTAACCATACTTAAATTGTATTCATCATGACACATTTAAATATTTTTTTATGTACTAATAATTTTCCCAAACTTTCGATTATTGACATAGTCAAACACTAACGATCCAAATTTTTGTGGATATATCAATTCATGCATTTAACCCTCTCTTTAGCATCATATATATGAGTAACACAGTCAAAAACATCATATTTAGGGATTAGAGTTTGTCGCAGCAAGATCAATTAATCAGGAAATAGAGTCTAAATCTAGGCGAGATTAGTGATTCCGCGTTTTCCTTTTTGATCGTGTGTTTCTATGTCATATCTCATCTCATTGTCGTAGCATTGAGTCATAAGAATGTAATTGGTCTAGTAATTTTTGTGAACAATAATTAAATTGTTTTCTTTAAATAAGTACATTAATTTCACAAAAACCAATAAGAAAAATGAGAAATAATTAAATCATATTTTGCGTATTACTCCAGAAATGGAAGATTCGACCTTTTGGGTTAAGATCGATATGACAGCTACCACCGCCACGATTGCTAATCCCCCCCCCCCCTCCGACTGCCGCCATATTTTTGTATAGGGAAAAGGGGCAAATCCCCCCTAAGGTTACCACCAAAGTTTATCTAAGCCCCTAAACTATATTTTGGAGCAAAAAACTCCATTTTCCATTAAAAAGTGGGCATCTCCCCCCTCCACTAACGGTGGACATACGGAGTACTTAACAGGGGGTTGAGAAGATGTGGCAAATGCAAATACCCCCAGATTATTCTCTAGCTAAATCACATCTGCAAATCTATATTTTTTTGTGAGCAAATGTCTTAGATAAAAATGTGACAAATTAACTAACTAATGTTGAATTATAGAGTTAACATGTTTCTAATTGGATTGAAATTTTTGATCTGATGTAATTTGGTCGAATCAATTTTTGTCTGATCTGCTCTGTTCTGTTTTAACTGTTTTTACTTAGACTTATTTCAGTTTTACGCAACATCAGACCTGAACAAACCTGACTACACATAAATAGACTAGACCTCGAAATATTATAAAATACCCAGAAACCATAAATCTACCGAACGAGAGAAAACCAGATCAATTCAGACCAGGCTAAGTCAGATTAGACCAGATCATAAAATTTCAATCGAAAAAAAAAACTTCATCTCGTCTGCTACGAAATGTGATTAATATTATTTATATATTATAATTTGTATATAATTTTTTGTATTCATTTACCATTAAAAATAATAAAATTCCTCCCCAATTATTGTAGAGTATATCTTCTCAACTTATCAAACATTTTTAATGCGTATATTGTAAAGATTAAAAGTATGCAAACACTAGTTTATCTTCTTTATCATACCACAATATTTTTCCCCTTTTACTTATAGAATATATACGGTAAAAATCGAGAAAGTATTTTGTATCGCACAATATTTTTGAATGAGTTTTATTATTCTTAAAAATAAATAATTAAAATTAATTATAAATAGATTATGAAGATAATATATATGAAGATATACCTATTCATAAACTAAATTAAAAATTTTATAAAGTGTATAAAAGAAAACTTAACTTTAATTAGTAAAAGTTGAATATATAAAGTAAAAGATTATAAATTAGTTTACATTGACCAGAGAATAGTGGACATGAACTTTAAAGTGAGACTGAGGTATAAGTAATACTACATATAAAATAAAATTTTAGACCATACCAGCTCCAGACTAAAAATGATCAGATCAACTAGATCAGATAAAAAAGTGCAGTCCAATTAAAATTCCCTAACTCTATAGTTCGACATATAGGCTAGTTAATTTGCCACATGTTTATTTAAGATATTTGCTCACAAAGAAGAAATATGAGCTTGGATGTGCTTTGTGACAATTTTGAGGTTCCCCTTACCTCTAATCTGATTTGACCTAGTCTGAATTGGTCGTTTTTGTCTAGTTCGATAGATTTCTGGTTTCTGAGTATTTTATAATTTTTTGAGATCTAATCTATTTATTTCTAGTAAGGTTTGTTCATGTCTAATCTTGTCTAAAATTGAAATAAGTCTAAGTAAAAACTTTTAAAAATTGAATCCAGTTAACATCTTTTTTTTAACAAGCTAAGTACTCCGTATGTCCACCGTTATTTATAGTGTATTTGCATTCACCATTTGTTCACAAAATGGTGTATTTGCTAAGTAAAATTCCCTAACTCCGTATGTTCACAAGCTAAGTACTCCGTATGTCCACCGTTATGGAGGGGGGAGATGCCCTCTTTTAATGAAAAATGGAGTTTTTTGCTCCAAAATATAGTTTAGGGGCTTAGATGCCCTTTGGTGGTAACCTTAGGGGGGGATTTGCCCCTTTTCCCTTTTGTATACGAAGAAAAGTTTTGAGCTAAGTTTATCAGAAAAATGACATGAATTTAATAAAAATATAACACAAATCTTGATGGATATATAAAGAGAATGCATGGTTTCAAATAAGAGTAAAACATAAACAAAATCAGCAAATAGGTGTTATTATGTCTAGTTTTAAAATATGATTAATTTCTATTTATTAACAGAATAAGACTTTCTCAATTTAGATTGAATAAATCCTATTTTACAAATAAATAATGTTGATTCTATGTATGCATTTACTTTAATCCTATTTAGAGTCCGTTTGGTAACATTGAAATGAGCCGAATCGGCTGATACTAATGTTGAAATTTATGAAGTTCCGATTGAAGTATATGGATTGGCTAATTCAATTTATGAAAAAATTATATGTAAAATATTTTTCGTCAATATAGCCAGAAAAGTAACTTCAACCTTACTTTTTTTTATTATTACACAATTTAGCGCGCGAAATCAAAAATTAAAAATTTGCAAGTAAAATTGATCTGCCCGATAAGCCCAAATATGTGCAGAAAAGGAGAAGAAGACGAATTTAGAGCCCGTTTGGTAGTATGAAAATCGGCTGTTTTGGCTGATTCTGCTGAAATTTATGAAGTTCTGGCTGAAGTGGCTGCATTGCCTGATTCTGCTGATTTAAGAAAAAAATATTTTTAAAATTTATTTCATTAATAAAACAAAGAAAAAATTATCTGTAAAAATAGTTAAAATGGTCATCTACAGTAACTTCAGCCAATACAGCCAGAAAAGTAACTTCAACCTTACTTTTTATGCTTATTACACAATTCAGTGCGCGAAAGCAAAAGTTACGTGTATGGTGAAAAAGTTGGCTGATAATCCTGATAAGCCGAAAAATAGTGCTGCCAAACGGGCTCTTAGGGAAGGAAAGGCAAATAATAGATAGAGAATTAGGAGAGTACCCACCCATTTGGAGTGAGAATGAGCATACCGACGTTGCTTGTCAACTGCTTCGTCATACCGCCGGACTTGACGTCGGCCGAGCTGGTCGCTTTTTGGTATGCGCTGTCGGATTGGTCGCCAGAGGGTGTAAAGAATGCCCCATTCTCGAACACATCATCCGTTGACCTCCAATTCCAGCTTGACCATTCGCCCTCGCCTGAGGTTTCTGTTCGTTTGGTCACCTCCAGAGCATGAGGGTTCGCCGGCGGCGTGAAATGGTTGCCCTGGGAGTTGATGGTGGGGTTGGCGCTGCCGCCGATGGCGTACATTCCCCAACTGGTGTAGTGGTTGTTGAACACGTGGAAGTACCCTTTCCTGCACCTCGGCATCCTCTGGGTTAGGCCTTCCCCGAACCTATTAAATGCTACGGTCACCTACGGTGAGAGAGACCCACATTTTTTATACTAATATTGAATTGAAATCTTATAAAGTCACAAAATTCAAATTGATGATTAACGATGATGCTATTTTTGAACAATGATTTTGTTTTCATAAATTTTACATATTTTGTTAATTTATTTTTAAGATCAAGTAATTTAATTTCATTTTTTTATTACTAATAATTTCCCATAAATATATATTCTTTTTGTCCTATAAAACTTGGTCAATGTTGACTTTAGCTACATATTTGTTGCTTTAAATGGAAATGATAAAGTTTTTTGGGACAAAAAATTGGCCAAGTTTTATGGAACTCATGTAGTAATATGTAAGGGATGGAGGGAGTTATCCCTTAATTAATTTGATTGATCAAAATTCAAAGACGACATAAATTTATATATGTTGACCAAGAAAAAGGGATTAGGACAAGAATATTACTATGAATTAGTTCTGGATAAAAAAGAGTTTATTTTTAATTTCCAAAAATGAAACTAATAAGACTAAGATGACCATTAAGATGTTCTTACTTGAATTATTTTTAGCCCCAAACCAGACCAGACTAGACTTAAACAGATCGGACCAGACTTAAACAGATCAGCCCAGACTTGACTTTCATAGTTAAAAATGAGACTAATAAAACTAAGAAGATCATTACACTCTTACTAAACCCATCTCACTCACTACGGTGGCCAACCCTAAAATGACCAATGTCGCTGTGATTTTGTACCGCATTGGCTAATGTCACAGTGACCATTGCCAACCACCAATTGCAATGACCACGCCTATATCCCAAGTAGAGTTACATCCGGTAAGTTATAGTTAGATCCAAGGACTTGGCTTTCAATTGCAACCACAAAATCATGACACGCGGTCTCCCGCGCCGCCGCCACAATGACATGTCCTACTGACTCCTCGCCATGACCCACCTTCTTTGACACTGTGGTTATCACCCTATGTGGATACAACAGTCGCCCTACCATTATCGTCCCCTGCCCCGCGTACCCAAATCTTCCCCTACCTCACCCCATCCCCTCATCCGAGCGCCTTTTCCTGCCTCGCCTCATTGCAGCCCAACCCCCACCTTACCTCGTCCTAGCTCCGCCCGATGAGTGCCTGACCAACTGAAAGTATGATATGTGACCCTAGCCTAGTATGCACTAGCCTCATCGGAAACCTTAGTCGTGCGCCGCCGATTTGGACCATCATTCACTAATCGCTATTGCCCACATACCGTGATTCGTAGTGTTTTTATCTCTCATTTTCACCCCAATAACCCACAATAGGAGGAAGAGGAGGAGGAGGAGGAGAAATGACTACAGTGTGCGGGGTGAAGACCAACAGAGACATGTGAAAGATGAAGCTGCGACCTCCTAGTGATAGCAGAAGCGACGACGTCCGACGAGTGCTAAAGCAACAACAAGGGCCGACGAGTGCTGAAGTTAAGGAGAGCTGGATTTTAAATTAGTGCTATGTTAGATAATTTATACTACCTTCGTTCCAAATTGATTTGCAAATTTGACTTTTCTTGGTCAAATAGTTTCATTTTGTTCGCTTAATTAGGATGACAATTTTTAAATATATTCTAATTTGGAGTTTACAACTTTGAAGAGATTTTAATGTAGTTTCTGAATATATAAACGTTAATTATTAAAAATTAAATTAATTATCGATACAGAGCATTGACTTTTATTATTGGTTGACCAAAAAATGTTGACTTTGCAAAACAATTTGGGACGGAAGGAGTACTTCATATTAGGAGTATTATAGTTCATTCATGTATTATCAGTCACTATTTAATATAGATTATAAAGTGGTTTCATTTTTGTCTTTTGAAAACCCATAAGTATATCTGTGATTATTTCCAAGAAAAATTGACTTCGCAAATCATTTTGATGCAAATGAACTACTATATATGATTTTGGACTAGAGGCTAAATTATTACTCCCTCCGTCCCAGGGAGAAGTTCCCACTTTCCTTTTTTGGTAGTCCCAACAAAAAGTTCCCATTTCCCTAAATGGAAAGTTATCCTACATCAAAACAGTGTCAAACAGTGCAAAACAGTGCCAAACAGTGTTTAAACAGTGCCAAACAGTGTTGAAACAGTGCCAAACAGTAAAATTTACCCCTCAGTAACTTTATTTCCTAAATATGTGTGAAAGTCAACCCGAGAACTTCTCCCTGGGACGGAGGGAGTACAATATACTACATACTTTTTGCTAATTATAAATAGATACTACCTTCATTCCAAATTGATGGCAAGTTTGACTTTTCTTGGTCAAACATTTTCATTTTATTCGCTTAATTAAGATTGTCAATTTTTACTTAAATTACAATTTAAAGTTTGCAACTTTGAAGAAATTTTAATGTAGTTTCCGGATATGTAAATTTTAATTATTAAAAATTGAATCAATTATCGATACGGAGGATTGACTTTTATTATCGATTAATAAAAGAGAGAATTTCCTAAATAGGAGTAAAACGTTTTGAAATTCCAAAATAGGACTAGGTGAGAACTCCGGTACCCATTTAAAAAACGGGGTACTGTACCTACCATTCACTTGATTGGTCCAAATAAGTATATCATTTTTAATTTAGATTTAAATAATTCAACTGCAACATTGTGATTGGTCCATGTGGACAAAGGTATGGTGTCTTATGGGTACCATAGAATCTACTATAGGACTATCATGTTTTTTATTCCCTGAATAGGAGTAAATTTCTGCCAAGTTTGGAATTACTAGGCTTTAAACATGACATTTTTCACCAAAGTTTGACAGATTACTCATATTAAAAGAATGAAAAATATAATAATCCTATTTTGAAATTTAAAAAAGCCGAGTACAACAAATTGAACGACGAGTGGAGTATTTATCAATGAGACTTTTCCAGAACTTAAAAGCTACGGTACCTGCATATGGGCGTCATCATTGTCGTCGTCACTGTGACCGAGCAGCATGACCTTGTCGTGGCGGAGGAAAAGGTTGTTGGAGATGGTGACGGCGGTGGAGCCCTGCGTGACGTCGATCAGCCCGTCCTCGCAATGAATCAGGGTGCAGTGGTCGATCCACACCATGCTCGACATGTGTACGGATATTCCGTCGCCGTCCGACGAGGACACCTTCTCCGTCAACTGCTGGCTCACCTGCACCCTGTCGTTTTCCGGCGAGGGCTTGCAGTAGTAGATGAGGAGGTTGTGGATGATGACGTTGGTGACAGAGAGGAGTGTGATGCAGCCCACGCCGGTGATGTGCACGTTCGCGCCGCGGCCGTCGATGGTCTTGTAACTGTTGACGAAGAGCTCGTGCCGGAGCTCGATTTTCATGTCGGCCGAGAATGTGATCCAGAGTTTTTCCTGTCGAGTCACCCCGTACCGGAGAGTGCCCGGTTTTGGATTTCCGGGGTCGGAGTCGTCCGACGAGTCTTCGACCACATAGATCTGTCCGCCTTCCCCGCCCGCCGCATTTTTCCCGAACCCAATGCCGCACTCCGCCAGCTTCTGCCGGTCGTTCTGCCAGCTCATGTCGGAAGCTCCCCAGCAGTCGTCGACCGGGTTTCCGGTCTGGTACAACGGTGAAGAAGACGGCGAAGAAGACGAAAGCCCCCTGCTTCTCATCGTTGATGCATTTACTCTTCTACATATTAGTATTTCATCATAAACATTAATTGATATGCATCCAAAACTTTAATAAGTTTCAACAACAGTAAAACTAGATTCAAAACTTGATGATGTAATTGGATTGTTCTTCTCTTTTGCTTGTGTTGTTTTTGTTCTATGGCAGTCCTTTCTGAGACAGTGGTGCTCCGGGATGTTTTGTGTCTCTCAATGTGGGGAGTTGCTTTGGGTCCCGATTAGCTTCGTCTGATCAAGGCGGGGTTTTTATATACAAAGTATCTGCCTTCTTTTAGACTGCATCGACATTGATAGATGTCGTCCTCCTCCGGAACCACATTTGTGCCTTCAAGAATTTTGTGGAAATATTTTATTTCAATTTTATTTTTCCATCATGAGTACTTGTTTTTATTTTAGTTTGAGTAGATTTGGTTTAGAAATTTGGACCTCTGATTGTTTTAGGCTTTAAATTGCTTGTTTCTTGTCTAGCGAATTGAATCGGGTTACTTCATGTGAGGTGGCTGATTCTATGTTTAATCCCTTAAGCCCTTAAGGGAAAGGGTAAAATAGATTCTTCAATTTTCAATCACTTAAGCCCTTATACTAAAGAAAGCATTATATAAGTGTTCTTACTTTTTAAATCCATTACTTTTTTTGTACAAGGGCTTACATGATGGTTTGAAAATAGTAGAAATTAAAGCTTTATTTAACTTCATTTCCAATTTAAAACTATTTAAAGACGATAAAAAAACTATTTAAATAATTCACTCTTCAACGAATGCAATTTGCAATAACTAACCGATCTCAGCTGAATTAAATGTGTTTTCTTCCCAAAACTTTTTTTTTCATCCTTTTGAAAGAATAAAAGAATATAAAAATTCTTAAATATGATTGAATAATTGGATTGGTCAAAGCAAAGGAGAAAATCAAAGCATGTTAGATTGTTACTTCCATTTTGAAATAGAATTTTTTTGTTAAGTTTTACTCATATTTATTACTCATATTTAGAAAATTTAATTACTAGGTTAATGTGGCAGGCGGCTATATGTATTTGGGAATGTTTGCAAATGATTTTGCTTAAAAAGCACTTTTTGAAGTGATTTTGGAAAAAATCATTAGTAGTAAAGGTTGGTAGTGTTTGAGAAAAAAGTGATTTTGAAAAGTAAAAGTTAATAGTGTTTGGTAAAATAAGTACTTTTGTGTAATAGAAAAAGTAAAAAACACTTTTCGCACAAAAGCCGAGAAATGCTTTTTTAAATAGAAGTTATTACTTGAAAACACTAATTTTAGTTTTTTTTTTAAGTAAGAAACGTTTTTTTAAACTATTGCGTATTTCACTCGGTGAGTGGCTGTGATGGGTCTATGTTTATCGAATTGGTTGATGAAGGGTTTTTTGTGCCTAGCTATCCAAGCATGGTGTTTCGTTTGGTAAAAATTATAAAAATATACTACGTATATAATAGAAGCGGTTCTCACAAAATATATGAGCAGTTCTTACATAGAAAAAGCTGGGAAGAACAGCAAAAAAATCCCTATTAATGATATAATTGTGTTCAGTAAAAAAATGATATAATTATGTGCAACAAATTATAATTATGAATTATGTTCAATAAATCCCTATTTATAATTATGAATAAACATATTATAGTCCTATTTTCGTGCATGTTTGGTAAACATATGTCTTGCCTTCTAACTTTTATACTATTCAAAATGCCTCTTAAAACTTCTAATTGAATGTTTGACATAAAGATTTTATGATTATTTAAAAAAGACCTTTTTTGAGATGCTACAGTGAGTAGCATCTTAGAAAACTCTGTAACTTTTAGCATTAATTAGTTTCAATAGCTTGTATGTCAAACAAGACTAAATCAAGCAGTTAGTTTTTTTAATCAAACGACTGCCAATTTTTTCAGTTAAGATCATTCAGTCAATAAAAACTAACAATTGTTAAAAGCTCATAAGAGTGTTTTTTTTTACCTAGTTGCGCCAAACATATCCGCAAGCAATTCCTTTTACTTTTCATTCAAAAAAAGCTTGCACACATATGTTTTTACACTTCATCTGATCCTTCAATGTTTTAAACTGATAATACCTGGAGTAGGATGTGGCTAACTATGTTTTGTTCCCAAAAATAACTCATTTTGATTGTAAGAACAAAGTAAATTTGTTTCATATCTTTGTGGATGAATGGAAGAGACATTCGTCTCTTTTTATTTAGCCATCTTTTTTACTTTTCAATTCAAGGCTGGTAAACTTTGATCCATTATTTTACTAATTATATACTTATGTGAAATTTAATTTATACACAAAGAACATTTATATATCATTTTCATAATATCAATACTACCGTGTATAAATATGTAATCACTTGGAGTTTAACATAATTGACTCGAAAAAATCAAGTTTGGCTAAATAAAAAGGGAAGTATATTTTAGGATGTTTTCTTTTGGACTATTTTCAATCCCAGACCAGACCAGACCAGACTTAAACAGACCAGACCAGACCAGACCAGACTTAAACAGACCAGACCAGACCAGACTTCTGTAGTTATAAAATACATAGAGACCAGACGTTTACCAGACCAGACCAGACCAATTCAGACCAGACCAGACCAGACCAGCAAATTTCAGTCCAAAAGAAAACATCCTTAGTAGACATGTCAATAAAACAGGTAAACCTTGAAGACAAAAAGAACAGACCTTGAAGACAATTATACATGTTGAAGTGGAAGCATCAAGCATGCATATCAACAATTCAGCATATATAAATATGTGTGTTTGTGTATATATAGTAATAAATTTAAAAAAAAATACCTTTGAACTTCTCTAACCACATCTTCGGGATTGGAGGGTAGCTGGTGGTGGGGGAGAGTGAAGGTAGGAACACTACCAATTAGGGTAGGAAATGAGGTGAAGAAGAAGCAGCAAAAGTAGAAGAAAATGGAGATGGCTGTAAGAAGCATTGCGTTTTAATCTTGCTAGCTAGCTGCAAGTTGCCTTTGGTTTTTCCTTTTCCAACTCACCTCATCTAGGGAACTTACACTGCAAACTTTATGGCAAAGGCAGAAAACAATGAATCTATCATTTTCAGATTTTACAGATCAAGTCTCCTGAAAATGTTTTGAAAAGCATTTTAATTTAGATGGTGCTTCTTTCTATGTTTTCCAGTACAAACTCTCTGGAAGAAGAATTTGGACAGAGGCAATTCTCATCAAACCACCTATTATGAAGACTCAACAAAAGCTTTAGACTTCTGAGTTGAGATCAATTCAAGAAAGCTGCTGTCTAGACTTAAGCAATTATTTCTTGTGGGCTCCACTAATTTATGGAAATCCTACACTTGTAATAAATAATAATAATAACAATCTATTTTAGACTAGACTATGTCACTATGCTAGGATGAAGAAAAACAGGTATCAGGTTTTTTGTGGTGAGGTTAATTCGTTTTTATTGACTTCAGTTCTCAAAACGAGGAAAATTGTGTAGTCCGGGCAGTGTCATCTACCTGCTGGATCCAAGCCCCTTTCTGACTCCTTTTTGTATTCAAAATATTATTAGCCGGTAGAAAGTATATACGGATTACGGAGTACTACTCTAAAATATTGATACTTCGTATATCAATATTATACACGAAGTATAATAATAATTAGTTATAAAATATACTTGGTAATACCCGTATACGTCTAGGCCATATATCTCACAGCTCCACGCATGCTCTCTAAATATCTGTGTAAACAACATGGGAGAGGGGATTAATTATATTACTACTACAGTACTACGTATAAGAATATGATAATTAATGGATTTTAAAACATTCGCACGAACTTTTATATATCTGTTTATAATGGATTTTATTATGCATGGCACATTATAATTGTTAAATGAATGCGATCATGGAAAATTAAATATGGGCACCGTAATTAAAGCTGTTTTCATGGTACATTTATTTACAACTATGCTCTTTATTATGCTTGGAGACAATATATATACAGACACACACATCATCATATCCTGTTATTTATTATTTACTTATTTATTTAATTATATATTTAAGATTATAAAAAATAAGCATATACTCGTATTAAATTATATGATGAATTATAAAATAAATTCACTCATGTGGAAAAATGTCAATTAGAACTGAAAATAATTGTTGCATTCCGAATTTTATTTTCATTATTAAAAAATGAAAAAATGACGCTCAATGAGACCTTGTTTAGAAGAAATATTATTGTTTGATTTTTTTACACAGTAATTATTCGAAATAGGAGTAATAATAATTTGAAACTTAAAATATGGATGACACTAATAATTTACCCCTTTTTAGGGGAATTCATAGCTATTTCTAATTTCATACTAAGTATTATTTTTACTCCCATTTTACAAAGTTTTACTTTCTATGTTTATAATATGTTCGGTAACCGTAAAAAGAGAACACTTTACGAGGGAAACCTCCCCTTCGTATGAAAAATAATCCAAGTTGAGCAATACAACATGTTAATTGTACGCCGTATTATGATTCCATTGGTTTTTTTTCTGTTTCTAAATTTGTTTAGAGTGTTGTTTGATTCAGTGAATGCCTGTCTACTGAGAATTATAATACCATTGATTTTTTAATAAAGAAAACGATCTATGGAAAAACATATGGAAACAAATGTTTACTTTTTGGTTTAGAAATTGTCTAACTTAATACCCATACGGAGTATATGTTCTCTTTACAGCTAATTATAAAAAAAACTACACTTTTGTTATGATGATCATTGATTTTTTTTTTCAATTAGCTATTATTATTACACGACTTTTATTTGCTTTTAATTAATTTTTTGAGGGGAGCCGGCCAGATCAAAATAAATAGTATATTTAGAGTTGAAAACAACACTTTTAGATTTTTAATATAAAAGTATCATTTCTAACTTTGCAGGTATATAACGAATGGCTAAAATAGTCAAAGGTTATCAAAGATAAATAATAGAGATATTTATCATTCATATTACTAAAATAACATGTCTTTTCGATTATGAGTACTTAATTATTATTTCTATAATAATACCTTAAATAATGTCATGCATGGTGAAATTGATATGCACAATTAGGGAAACGGTTGGGAGGCCATTAATATGCATCCAGCCAAATCATGTATCATGTATGGTCATATTCTTAAAAACTCGTGAGTTTTAGTAATATATTTGGATTGATATATGGCTCGTGAGTTCTAGTATATCTATAC